GCTGTCCGCGGTGCTGGGCCTCTGCAGGGCCTCCTCGCACGGCAGGCTGCACGGGCCCTCCGTGTCCACGTCAAACGTCTCATCCGAGCGGAATATGGCCTCGAGAATGTCGTCGTCAGTTGTGAATAAGATTGTGTCTCCAAAGTGCTCTGGGGCTGAAGGGGTTACCAGGAAGACAAGGGTCAACTCTCCCAAATCCCACTGAGCTGTGGGTCAGGGCCCAGACCCATCAGCTCTGCCATAAACCCCGAGCCACGGACAGTTCTCCATCTGTGCAGGGACGTGGATTCTTCACGTCGGCAAATGGATCCGCGTACCTGAGCACCACACAGGCCACAGATCTAACAAGGGACCTATGTGAGGAGAATCACTGAGATGGGCCTGAAACACGCGTGGGTGGGCACCAGAGCAGATGCTGTGGGTGCTCACAGATCCCCACTGACCCCCGGCGAGGAGGGCTGGAGCCCTGCTGGAAGGGCATGGGTGTTAGGCCCCTAGTGGGGAGCCTGCAGGGCTCCAACCCCCAGCGCTCTGCCTCAGGCAGGACAGACCTGCAGTTCATGCTCCGGGCTGCCCTCGGTCAGGCTGCGTTGGCTTCCCCTGACACTACTTGCTCAGCTCCCCCTCCATGTCCTGCACCCCTCCCCGCACTGGGTTCTCCTGAGAGTGCTCCCTCAGTCAGCGCCTCCCAGGAGGGTCCCCCTTTCGGGCTCAGGCCCGTCCCCAGCCGAGGAGTTTAATGAGGTCAGTGCTCACATACCCACGCTGCAAAGGCGGCGAGCAGGCCAGGCCTACGAGGGGAGAGACCCATCGCCGCTGGCAGCCTGTGGGTTTGGTTTTCCCTCGGAGCCTCAGCGAGCAGCGGGTAGGGCTTCGGGAACATCCTTACAGACATACTGTACCTCCCGTCAGGGTTCCGGAGGCCTTGGCGATTTCTCCGTTAAAGATGCACTGCGCGTCTAACAGGATCTCGACGTCCCTCACACCGCGGAAGGAATGGATCCGCGACTTGTTGTAATTCCAAATCCTGACCAGGGCGACGTGGCAAGGGTGCGAGAAGTCGATGGAGATGGAGTGGGACTTGCCCGGCGTGAAGGGGGCCAGCCAGACGTGCATGTCGTCCTGGGTCCTGTTCACCCCGTCGACGAGGTTGCCGACCACCCGGGGGTCCTTCCCATAGGCTGGTAGAATGTTGATGTCGGGGGGGTCCGCTTGGATGCTGGCGATCTGCACGGGCTCTCCCTTGGAGCTGAATATTTCTATTCCGTTCAGGCCCACGTAGTGCCTGTCCCCCCACGTGGACTTGATGTCAATGACCAAGTGCCGCCCGTAGGGCAAGACGGGGATTCTAAAGTCGCTGGGGTCGCCTGCGTCTCTGCAGTCGTCCGGCCCAGCCCGGGGCTCCGGCTCCGGCTGCTCCCTGCCAGGGGCTGGCTGGGCGCCCTGCCGGCCGCTCCTCTGCTGCTGCAGGAACTCATCCAGGATGTCCCCCTGCACTTCCATGTTGGAGATGCGGCCCCGGTGGGAGCGGTCAAAGGCGCTGAGGGAGCTCCAGGACTCGTGCAGCGTGTGCTCCTGCTCGCTGCGCCACTGGGGCCGTGGTGGCGGCCTGGTGCACCAGGCTTCTCCTGAAGAAAGGGCACAGGAGGGGGGAAGCCCATTAGTGACAGGTGTGGAAGTGGGACCCTTAGTGTCTCATCCAGTGGCTCTCGGTTGGGTGGAGCCGCCCTCAGGGGAACATTCTAGAAAGCGGTGAGGCTGCTGTTGGCTGTCTCAATGCCCACTGACCCTCCTGGCATGGCCGGTGGGCAGGGCTGTTAACACCCGCACTGCACTGGACGGTCTGGGCACAGAGCACGGTTTCCTGTCACACACATTCAGGCTGATAGAAAATTGTTTCCGGTTCTCAAGTCTGGAACCTACCTGTTTTACAAAAAGCAAAGTATTGTTCAATCTTCACTGAATTTTCTAAGCATGCAACCTCAAGCACATCAAGGGAGGCCTGTATGGCTGTGTTGGAGCCTTTGCTGGAAGTTTTCCTACTTCAGAGCCTCACACAACCAGAGCGAAGCCGCTGCCTGTGGCCTCAGAGTCAGCCACCCAGGAGCCTGCGCCTCGGGCTACCAGTCACGTGACTTGCACGGAGTTTTCAAACTGCTTAGTGACAGGCAAAGGGCTGGGAAAAGAAGGTAAAAGGAAAAGAGCCAGCTGTGCCATTTTAAATGACGCCCATCCTAGTGTGGGCAGCTTGCACCGACGTGCTAGTATGATCTTTCGGGGTGGGAGTAGGAAGGGCTTTTATTTTCTTCCTTGTCACCTTATCTTCTGAGTTCCCTACATGTATTATTTTTATAATCAGAAAAACGCTGAAACAACCCAGGTGCATTGCACGGCGCGGACTTTACTTCCACACACGGCCTAACTGGCTCCAGGAGCCGCAGCCATGCCCAGGGCTGGTGTCTGAAGGCCCCGCTCCCCTCGCAGAATCTAAGAGCCCGAGTGCACATGGAGCAGGGGCCATCCTCGGGGCCATGCCATGGCTAAGTGCCACCTAAGGGTGTCATTCTGGAAAAAACAGCAGCTGGCACTGACATTCTGCTTTTTCTCCTTTCTTTTGGTGCCGTGCCCTGCACTCCATTTTCTGCCTGTCTCCTAGGGGGCCTGGCCCCATCAATTACCGCTTCTCTCCAGAATCTTCAATCACTCCTTCCCCACCACTGCCCTCTCAGCCTGCAGACAAGCGTAAATCTCCGCCCTGAAGGCAGAGGGAGGCCTGGGATCTGCGCTCCCTCCGCCCACTGCAGTGGCTGCGCCCATCCCCACCTCCCATTCCCTGCGGCCTGCTTTCTCTGACCAGTTACTGTTTTGCTGCCTCAAACTCCTCTTCCCCTTCTCTAGGAACAGCACCCTGACTTTCCCCTGGGGACCCCCCACCTGCAGGCCATTCGGATCAAGCAAATGTGGACAGCATCCTTGCAAGCTGGGCTCATGAAAGGAACCCAGGAGAGAGGGGCTCTCCGTGAACTGGAGCTGCTGAGCGTGGACGGAGCGGCGCTGCCTGTGGCCACCTTGCTGCCTGTGGGGGACCGACCTGAGAAGGAAGCAGGGCGATGAGAGGCTCCTGGTGGCATCACTGGGGCCCTTGGGCCCAGCTGTGTCAGAGGTCGCATGCCTGGTGGCTTTCCATCCCTCCATCCATGAATCCCACAGCCCTCCACTGCAGCAGCGCCCTCCGGGTTCACAGGGACCCCACGCACGCAGTCTTCTCTCAGTGCTCGCTCCAGACTGCTGTCCGAGGCCACGCTCCCCTCGGGCTCAGGAGACACTGCTGCCAGGTTCTCCACGTTCCACCCGCAGCTCCTCCCTCCTCCCCAGTCCCCACGTCTGGCCCTGGCTCCCACGCAGGCACTGCCCAGTGTCACATTGGCACCGCCCCCCCGCCCCAGGCACCACCGTCCAAGGCCCCTCGGGGGGTCCAGACATGTCCACACTGTCACTTCAGACTCCATGTGCCTAAATGGCGTTTGTCACCATCCCCTCTGAGTGCCATTATCTCTGCCACGCTGGGAACAAGGAAAATCAAAGAAAATCCAACTCCTCACCACGCCCCAGAGCCCCAAGTTGGCCCCACTAACTTCCCCAACCGCACTCCCACCCTCTCCCACGCCCTCCTGCTCCAGCCACGTGGCCCTCCTCCCTGTGACACGCCAGGTCGCGTCTCGTCTCAGAGCCTTTGTCCTTGCTGTGCCCTCTGCCAGGAATGCTCTCTTCTCAGATCCCCAGGCAGCTGGCTCCTCTCGTCACCTTCCTCGTGGAGAGGCCTGCTCTGCCCTGCTCCCTGCTGCGTCCCAGTGCCTGGCACAGAACCTGGCACGAGGAAGTGCTCAGTAATGTTTGCCAGCAAAGGGATGGACAGCTGGCATCACCATTACACCCGTGTTCAGACCTGGAGGCTGAGGGACTCCCTCTCCACCTGCCAGTTCTCCTGCACCTGTCCTCGCCCCGCCTTCCCATCTGCCATTAAAAAAGACCCAGGAGTTTCCTCCACCCTTTCCCAGGCGTGAGGCTTAACACCTGCAGAAGGGACTCCCATATGGATCATCGGTGCTCCGCTAACTGTGATTTGATTTCCACGGGCTGGAATGAATGGCCTGGGGCAGTCTGCAAGGGCACTGAGGAGACAGCACCCATGTCCTGTGTCAGGGCCTCGCCTGTGTGTCTGCCTGGGTGAGAAGAAAGGCAGGGCTCTGCTCTCACCCCACATCTGCTTTCTGACCTCTGCTCCCCAAGAGGTACCCTGGGTTTTAAAAGCAGAGAGGTATAGACGCTCTGCTAGACCTCGCAGATGGGACCACCGCTGAGGGCCGGTTCCCCTCTCTGCAGGAGAACACTACTCACGAGTCCCTGGGGTCAGGGAGCTGCTAGGGTCAGTGTGTGGTCCTTGGTCAACCCCACCTGCAAGTCTGAAGGGCAACAGAAAGCTGCTGCTTCGTGAGTCTGTAGTCAACACAGTCTGGGAGGGACCACCGATATGAGAAGACGGGACTGAAGATGCAAAACTATTCCTTGGTTGAGACTAACATGAGCTACAGAGTTCTGCACTTGAGTTTATAAAAATCAATGGCACCACCATGAGGCGTATGCTAATTGCTACTAAAACAGGAAATGAGAAAGTACATAGTGAGATATAACAGAGCCATGTTTATTCTCAGTGAACTGCCCTCCAGTTGTAGCTGATGAACAAGGAGTGGACACCTGACCCGAGTCGGCCAATCAACTTCTCCCCTGAGACTATGGAGCTGGCTGCTGGCGACAGAGCCAGAACACTGAGTCACCTAGGGCTGCCAGGCCATTTCCTGCTGTGTGCACAAAGGCAGAGAAAGCCGACCCTGAGGGAGGGTGAGGGAAAGGGCCAGCGGGAAGCAGAGGTAGGGCCTGGACAGACAGGGAGAAGCTTCCTTGGTGCTGGCCAGTGTCCTGGCTCCTCTTCCCAATCCCATGCGGTGAGCAGCTACACTCCCTGCCTCTGGGGGTCTAGGAGCGCCTCAAGCATTCGCCAAATAACACCCCCTTTACTGCTCAAACTGGGCTGACGAGATTTCATTCACCTGTAGCCAACTGACCCCTGATAACGACACTTCCGAAATGCAGATGTCATGACAGTGAGATGCTCTGTGGCACAAAAGAATCTCCAGGCTGTTTATGGAGCCAATTCCAGGCCCAGGGAGGAGTCTGGCAGTCATGCATCCTCGCAGCACCTACGGAGCTGGGCCTGCACCTTTCCTGAGGGCATGGCATGGGCTTTGGCTCTATGTAATGGGCAATTTAAGATTTCAAAGCGACTTTCCTTTTTAGCACGACTGGTTTAACAAGCATTAAATCTGAAGGGCTCAGTTCTTAATGTGTCACTGAGCCAACCAGTGAAATGCCTGGAAAGAAATTAAAGGGAGACAAAGTCTTCCAAACGTGGACACATTAGAATAACTCCCAGAGGCTCTGTGGGTCTGTTTACCAGGGAGGCTCGGAACTGCCTGGCTCCGCCGGGCGGGGGCTGATGATGGCTGCGGAAACAGGGCACGTGGGGTAGTGATTCAAGCACGGATGCTGGAGCAGGACACGGGTTCAAATTCTGCTCTGCCCTTACTGGCTGTGTGACCTGAAGAAAGATGCTTAAAGCTCCTATCTCCTTTAGCTGTAAAAGGGGCTGGCAGGAGGGTGCCTGGTTGAGAGCATGGCGCACTGCAGCCTGTGCGTAGCCACGCAGCCATCCCACACTCGGAGGACCCACCTTGAGCAGACACCTGGGCCTGAGATCCCATCACAGATAAGACAGTGTCTGCTCTCAAAGAGCTCCCTGGCTCTCCTCTCCTCTCCCACTCCGCTGGCCCCGACACCCAGCACTGGGTAAGTTGGCTGGGAGCCTCGCAGGAAGACATGCAAGTCTTACGGACTTGCTCCGTGTCCTAAGCAACATGTCAGGGTCTGAAGGAGGCCCAAACTCATCACATTTCTAAGTGTAGGCCTTCGGGCTCTGTCTGCTAGCCAACGATGGAGTAGAGGCTGACGTGACTCACTAAAACATATATACAGGTGACCTTGAACACCACTTTGAACTGCGTGGGTCCACTTACATGTGATTTTTTTCAGTAAATACGTACAGTACTTATTTCAGTAAATGTACTTTCTCTTCCTTATAATTTTCTTAATAACAGTTTCTTTTCTCTGGCTTACTTTATTGTAAGAATATCTACATAATACATATAACATAAAAATATGGGTTCATCGCCTGCTTGTTATTGAGAAGGCTTCCAGTCAACAGTAGCCGACAGTAGTTAAGTTTTGGGGGAATCAAAAGTTATATGTGGATTTTCGACTGCACAAGGGGTCAGCACCCCGACCCCCCGAGTGGTTCAAGGGGCAACTGTACATTGGTTTCACCTACAGATACACCATGAGGTAGAGTCAGAGAGTGCAGGCAGTGCCAACGCCTCGATGGTGGTGACGATAAAGAGCAGCAGCTAGCATCTCCTGGTGCGCTTGTGTGCCAGGCACTGTGCCAGGCACTGCACATGGGTGATCTCATCTGATCCCCAGCACCCATGAGATGGGTATTACTGGCAGCATTTTACAGATGAGGAAACTGAGGCTCCAGGCTTACGCACCATGTGGGTTGGTGTATTCCTATACAATGTGGAGTGGGGTTAAATTCAGAGGACTAGGGGTGAGCCCTGCCTTGGTAGGTCCGAGTGCTTTGTGGACAATAAAGGACCGACAAGCTAATGTTGAAAAAAATGGCCGCCACTTGTGGAGCACTTGCCACGGGCCAGGCTCTGTTACTATTGCGAAGCCATCGTCTTACTCCTCACAGCACTGGGAGGGGGTGCTCATCCCCATTTTATAGACAAAGCTGCTGAGGCTCAGTGTGCAAGGGCCTGCTCTGTAAGTCCCAGATCTACATGTAGCGGAGTTTAAATTCAAATGTTTTGACATCTTGTTGCTATGCTACATTCCCAACAGCCAAATCTGAGTGGAAATATTCAGAAGTCCAGCCCTTTCACAGCCTTAGAGATGATCTACCGCAAAGTTCACAGAGCAGCAGATAAGTCACCAATGGTGAAAATTAGAATAGTCTGATATATTTCTGATTTCTCTTAATAAAAGGAAAAGAGATCTGGCACATTGGCCTTGCAATACTGAAAGCCAGAAAGAGCCTGAGTGAAGCAGCAGCTGCCCCCTTTAGTTGGGCTTGTGCACTCCAGTTAGCCACAGTCCTCACCACTCCCTAATGTCCTTCCAAAATCCAGGCAAGTGTCAATTGCTATTTATCATCATACTTGCGTTATTTTCCTAACAGTACAGTTAAGAATAAAGTGAAGTAATTAGAGACCAATGTCTATCAGAGGTAGAATAACCAGGTCTAGGTTGGAAAAGTCATGTATTGAAAGAAAAATGAGCAAAGGGACGTATCTTGGTGGCAATGACAAATATATCTACGAGTTTAACAGGCAAAGTATGTCTTGCCCATTTCACTCATTGCTGCCTCCCGTGTGGCTCCTGAGACAGTAGATTTGTGAGCCCTGGTTAAGAAGAACCCCTCGCTTTGCAGATGAGGAAACTGAGGCTCGGGGAGTTGAGTGGCTGGTGCCAGTCGGCAGCCTCCTGCAGGGATGATGAGCCCCAGTCAGACTGCTCCCTGAGCTTACCTCTGCCGGCTGGTTGCCCATCACCGTGACTGCTGCTGAGGGCATCCTTCCGGGCCCTCCTCCCACTAGCGGGGCGCTCCCTGTTGGAGGGCTGCTCAAAGATGTCAAAGTCATCCCTGCAGACGTTGGGGGTCACCCTCGGGGCTCGGTCCTCTGAGATGGCATTCCGGCTGCTGGCCCGCCCTGGCTCGCGCCTGGGGCCTTCATCCCCGGCCTCCACAGGACCCTCCCTGAAGACGTCCTCGTCCTCCGGCACAAGCCCGTCCGTCCCATCGGGTGGCTTCTCAGGGCACAGCCAGAGGGGTTTGGGCTTCCCGCCTCCCTGCCTCCTGCCTTTCCCTGTGCAAGAGGGTTGTAGCCAGGCGGGGGTTTTCCCTGGTGCAGAGACCTTCCTGCCTGGGAGGTTTTCCAGCTGCAGAGTCTGTGAGAGCTCCTGGCCCAGCGGAGGGCACTCCACTGGGGGCCTGGGGGCAGGGGCACGCTCGCCCCCCACGGAGGTTGGGGCTGCTGACGAGCTGACATCGTCCTCTAACTTGGACAAACTGTCTTTTATGCAACCAGGAGAATTCATGCTTTCACCAAATAAAGTTCCTGGTGAAGAAACCGCCACATCCCCTGCTACTCGGGCTGGCTGTGAGCAAGTGGCACTGAGCTCCTCGTCCCCAGCGGTGCCGGCCATCCTCTGGGCACCTCTGCCTTCTTCCGAGGGGGCATTAGAGCCATTCTCCACCCCCTCAATCTGCTCATTTTTCAGGCCGACTGGGATGCTCTGGTTGGCCGGGGCCTCCCCACCTCCTTTGTCTAACTGGCCATCAAAGATGAGGCTTTTGTTGACATAAAGCTTCACGTTCTTCGCACCAACGTCAAGATCCTGGAAACACAAAATTTAACAAAACAGAGATGCGTGGTGTCAGACTGATGTCTCAAATTTTAAAGCAGAAGATGAAGAGAAATTGAATGCTGGAAACACGGGCTTTGTGAAACCACAGCACTGGGATGTTAAACAAGGCTCAGTCCCCTTCCTGCGTGAAGCTTACACTATAAATCAAAGGACCTTCACAAAGAGGTGCTTGATGGGCTCTGTCATTGTACCTCCCGCTGGGACATCTGTAACTGCCTGCTAATTAGTCTCCCTGCTTCCTGTCCTGCTGCTCCAACCTCCACCTCCTGTTGCCAGGGAGGTAGTTTCCTGCCAGAGCAGATCTGGCTGTCACCCGCCTGGTGAAACCCTCGGTCTTCACTGCGGAAGGCGGCTTCGCTCCAGTACATCCTGGGCCTCCCCGCAGGAAAGCCTGCCGCGCACAGCCAAGGCACACCTGGCTCAGTGGGGTCCTGAGAGCAGTGCCGAGATAAGGACTCCAGTGCGGGCTGCTTACTTGGTAAGGTGCTCCCAAGAGTCAGGGCCCGAGAAAACCCCCAAAGGCACTTGAGCTGGTCACTGCTGTGGGCGATTGGGCTCTATTCCACTGGGGACCTCCGAGGAACCCACAGAAGGCACCTGTGTTCCTCCAAAGGCGGAGGCCGGGTTATCTACTGACTCCCTTCCCTGCTGCTGAAGGTTGCCTTGGGCACTGTGGCTTGGGAAGTCCCTCCCCTCCTCCCCCTGCAGAAAGGCAGAGCCTGGAAGCACCGAGGCTGTGCGTCAGCCTGCCCGGCTGTCCCACCTGGGCTGCTCCACCTCGGCTGCCCCACCTGGGCTGCTGTTCCTCCAAAGGCGGAGGCCGGGTTATCTACTGACTCCCTTCCCTGCTGCTGAAGGTTGCCTTGGGCACTGTGGCTTGGGAAGTCCCTCCCCTCCTCCCCCTGCAGAAAGGCAGAGCCTGGAAGCACCGAGGCTGTGCGTCAGCCTGCCCGGCTGTCCCACCTGGGCTGCTCCACCTCGGCTGCCCCACCTGGGCTGCTCCACCTCGGCTGCCCCACCTGGGCTGCTCCACCTCGGCTGCCCCACCTGAGCTGCTCCACCTGGGCTGTCTCCCCTGGGCGGCCCCACCTGAGCTGCCCCACCTGAGCTGCTCCACCTGGGCTGTCTCCCCTGGGCGGCCCCACCTGAGCTGCCCCACCTGAGCTGCTCCACCTGGGCTGTCTCCCCTGGGCGGCCCCACCTGAGCTGCCCCACCTGAGCTGCTCCACCTGGGCTGTCTCCCCTGGGCGGCCCCACCTGAGCTGCCCCACCTGAGCTGCTCCACCTGGGCTGTCTCCCCTGGGCGGCCCCACCTGAGCTGCCCCACCTGAGCTGCTCCACCTGGGCTGTCTCCCCTGGGCGGCCCCACCTGAGCTGCCCCACCTGAGCTGCTCCACCTGGGCTGTCTCCCCTGGGCGGCCCCACCTGAGCTGCCCCACCTGAGCTGCTCCACCTGGGCTGTCTCCCCTGGGCGGCCCCACCTGAGCTGCCCCACCTGAGCTGCTCCACCTGGGCTGTCTCCCCTGGGCGGCCCCACCTGAGCTGCCCCACCTGAGCTGCTCCACCTGGGCTGTCTCCCCTGGGCGGCCCCACCTGAGCTGCCCCACCTGAGCTGCTCCACCTGGGCTGTCTCCCCTGGGCGGCCCCACCTGAGCTGCCCCACCTGAGCTGCTCCACCTGGGCTGTCTCCCCTGGGCGGCCCCACCTGAGCTGCCCCACCTGAGCTGCTCCACCTGGGCTGTCTCCCCTGGGCGGCCCCACCTGAGCTGCCCCACCTGAGCTGCTCCACCTGGGCTGTCTCCCCTGGGCGGCCCCACCTGAGCTGCCCCACCTGAGCTGCTCCACCTGGGCTGTCTCCCCTGGGCGGCCCCACCTGAGCTGCCCCACCTGAGCTGCTCCACCTGGGCTGTCTCCCCTGGGCGGCCCCACCTGAGCTGCCCCACCTGAGCTGCTCCACCTGGGCTGTCTCCCCTGGGCGGCCCCACCTGAGCTGCCCCACCTGAGCTGCTCCACCTGGGCTGTCTCCCCTGGGCGGCCCCACCTGAGCTGCCCCACCTGAGCTGCTCCACCTGGGCTGTCTCCCCTGGGCGGCCCCACCTGAGCTGCCCCACCTGAGCTGCTCCACCTGGGCTGTCTCCCCTGGGCGGCCCCACCTGAGCTGCCCCACCTGAGCTGCTCCACCTGGGCTGTCTCCCCTGGGCGGCCCCACCTGAGCTGCCCCACCTGAGCTGCTCCACCTGGGCTGTCTCCCCTGGGCGGCCCCACCTGAGCTGCCCCACCTGAGCTGCTCCACCTGGGCTGTCTCCCCTGGGCGGCCCCACCTGAGCTGCCCCACCTGAGCTGCTCCACCTGGGCTGTCTCCCCTGGGCGGCCCCACCTGAGCTGCCCCACCTGAGCTGCTCCACCTGGGCTGTCTCCCCTGGGCGGCCCCACCTGAGCTGCCCCACCTGAGCTGCTCCACCTGGGCTGTCTCCCCTGGGCGGCCCCACCTGAGCTGCCCCACCTGAGCTGCTCCACCTGGGCTGTCTCCCCTGGGCGGCCCCACCTGAGCTGCCCCACCTGAGCTGCTCCACCTGGGCTGTCTCCCCTGGGCGGCCCCACCTGAGCTGCCCCACCTGAGCTGCTCCACCTGGGCTGTCTCCCCTGGGCGGCCCCACCTGAGCTGCCCCACCTGAGCTGCTCCACCTGGGCTGTCTCCCCTGGGCGGCCCCACCTGAGCTGCCCCACCTGAGCTGCTCCACCTGGGCTGTCTCCCCTGGGCGGCCCCACCTGAGCTGCCCCACCTGAGCTGCTCCACCTGGGCTGCTCCACCTGGGCTGTCCCACCTGAGCTGCCCCACCTGGCTGTCTCCCCTGAGCTGCCCCACCTGGGCTGCCCCACCTGGGCTGTCCCACAGGAGCTGTCCCACCTGAGCTGTGCTGGAGGAGAGTCCAGGGGATGTGGTGTGGGCGCTGCATGTGTAACAGGTTCTTCTGATGATTCCTTTGCACAGGAATGTGGAGACCCTCAGGCCAGTGGGATGAACTCTAACCCCCTCAGCATATGACAGAAGGGTCCCTGGCTAGGCTTCCTGTCTCCTTCTTCTCCCCAGCACTTCTTTGTTCATGCTGAGAATGAAACCACACCTCTGCCTGCTACTGCCCTGCCATCTGTCCATTCCCCTTCTCATCAAAACATTTCTCAAAAACTGCTTGACTAAGGAATATAACACATACTCACACAGAAAACAGTACCTTTTTAAAGTGTACAACTTGATAAGTTTTAACACATGCATATACCCATAAATCAATTTCCAATCAAAATAATGAGCACATTACCCCCAAAAGTTTCCTTGTACCCTGGGTAACCCCCCAACCCCTCCCCAGCCAACCACCGTCAGCTTTCTGATATATCAGTTTGCATTTCCTTTTTAAATAAAAGGAATCACACACTATGTACTCTTCTTGGCCTAGCTTCTTTCTTTCAGCATAATTACTTGAAGATTCATCCATGTTGTATGAATTAATAGCTTTATTCTTTTTCTTGCTGAGGTACTTCATTGTCGGAGTGCCCCACCATTTTTTTGCCTTTACAGCAGACCCTTCGAGTCACTTCCCGGCTGCTCCTCCCCGCTCCCCACCCCACCCGTGGCCCGGCCCCGCTGCAGTAGGGCCTTTGCCTCCATCTCTGCCCGAACCCACCTTGCCAAGGGCACCAGTACCTGGGTGGAAACTTCCTGTGTGTCTGGGACGGTTTGGATTTACTCCGCTGTCCTGGCCCAATCATTCACAGGCCCTCTTTTCACTCTCAGAGTGTCCTGGTTTGGACGGTCAGTTTTAGGGCCAGCAGGTGCCAGATCCACCGGGAGCTCTCAGGCTCAGGCCGACAGCTGTCAGCAGCACCTGTGCCGTCGCCGCTCCTCCAACCGAGTGGTCTCCTTCCCCAGCTTGCAGGCCAACCTGGCTGGGGTTCCTCCCGCCTCAGCCTCCCTGCCCAGGCTCCCCTGCTCCCCCCTCAGCCTCCCTGCCCGGGCTCCCCTGCTCCCCCCTCAGCCTCCCTGCCCGGGCTCCCCTGCTCCTCCGTCAGCCTCCCTGCCCGGGCTCCCCTTAGCTGGGCCTCAAGTGGCTGGGGGGTCCTGGGCCTCAGATTCCTGCTCTCTCACTAGGTGGTCTCGTCCAGACCCAAGGCCTTAAATACCATCTTTGTGTTGATGACTCGTGATCATTTTCATCTCCAACCCTGACCTCTCCACCAAGCCCCTAGTGACCACGTGACCTCTCTTCTAGGATATCTAACAGGTGTCTCAACCTTAACACGACACCCCACACAGAATCCTCACCTCACTTTCCCAAGCCTAGTCTTCCCCCATCTTAAAAATGGTGGCCCCATTCAGTCAGTTGCCCACAGCCCAGGAGTCCTCTCTGACCCCTCCTGCTCACTCACTCACATGGCCAGGGGCCAGGGTCCCATGGCTCTAACCTCCACACCCCTCCAAACCTGACCTCTGCTCCCTGAGTGTGCTGCCTCCCTGCCAGGCCACCATCTCTCCAAGAGGTTCTACCATAACCTGCCAGCGGGCCCCCCTGCTTCCACTCCGCTCCATCACCGCGATCCCACCCCAGGCACACGCTTCCTTCTCTACACAGCAGCCGGTCTTTCTTTCTAAAACAACTTATCAGGTCATGGCGCTCCCTGCTTAAAGCCCCTAGTGATTTCGTACTACACATGAGCTCCACCCCCTTCAGTGGCCAGTAAGGCCTTCCGATCTGGCCCCTGCTGACCCCTCTGACCCGACCCCTGTCACTCTCCCCCCACTCCCAACACACTGATCTGGTTGCTGCTCCCTGATCCGGCCAACTCATTCCCACCCCAGGAAGGAGCCCTTGCCCGGAATGCTCTTCCCAGAGCCCTGCAAAGCTGGCTCCCTGTCCTCAGAGACCTTCCCTGCCCTCCGGCCCTCTCTATCTCAGCATCCTGCTCTATTTCCTTCC